GTAGAATGGCAGTCAACTCTCTACCCCAATTCCATCGATTCTGAAAAATCCCTCGACAGCGTCGACCATGAGGGAATTCGGAAACTGCTTCTACACTATTGAGTACCACAAACCCTTATCAAACTCATTCAAAAGCTATATGAAGACGCTACACGATAAGTGATTCACAATGGAAAGCCCAGTGACGCCTTCGGTGTGAAAGTGAAGACAGGAGTAAGACAAGGTTGCCTACTACAACCGACCGTCTTCCTGATTATGGTCGACTGGATCATGCGACAAACTGCGAGGAGCGAGAAGAGGACCATACGCTAGCTGGACCAATGAAAAGACCTCAAGAGATTTCGATTTCCCCGATGACTTGTTTCTAATGTCGCACAAACTCGAAGATCGATAGGCAAAAGCCGACAAGTTGACAGAAGAGGCGAGGCAGCGAAGATGGGACTTCGAGTGAACGTAGAGAAGACAGATGTGATGAAGATAACCAATCAACAACAACAAGCACCAACGTGAGAAATCTAAAGCAAATTGTCTCTTTCACCCACCTAGACAAGACAACACAGTTTCAACTGCAGGCGGCACAGGCACAGATGAAGACGTCAAAACCAGGATCGGAAAGACAGCAAGACAGGCCTTCATTAACCTGAAATCAGTGTGGAAATCTACTGCACTGCACTCAGCATATAGCCTAAACAATATCCGGATTTTCAACACTAGTTCAGTCAAGTCACTGCTTCTATGTGATGGTTGAGACTTGGTGCGTCACCAAAAGCATTTCCAACAAACTCCAGGCATATGTCAACAGCTGCCACCTGCGCTCACTCGATACTGAAGATCAGATTAAATGGACAGAATAATAAGAATAAGCAACAAGGAACTCTGGCTGGCTGGCTGGCTGGCTGGCTGGCTGGCTGGCTGGCTGGCTGGCTGGCTGGCTGGCTGGCTGGCTGGCTGGCTGGCTGGCTGGCTGGCTGGCTGGCTGGCTGGCTGGCTGGCTGGCTGGCTGGCTGGCTGGCTGGCTGGCTGGCTGGCAACGAACCAACCGACCTAGAACCCATCGCCCAACAAATATGCAGAAGGAAGTGGAGATGGATTGGATTGGGCATATGCTGAGAAGACCGACTGGGGACATCACGCGCCAGGCCAGGCTCTCGAGTGGAACCCAAAAGGGAAACGACGAGTTGGGCGTTCGAGGGTGACATGGAGGAGATCATGTGAGGAAGAAACGAAAGCTTCTGGGCAATCGTGGAACCAGATTGGAAAGACTGCAGAGAGCAGAGTGAAATGGAGACGTGCTACTGAAGCTCCATATTCCAATAGGAACCCAAGGGAAAAATAATAATCTAAAAAATGGTACCTATACCATAAAATACACAGTTACCGAATGGATTCATCCAATTAAAGTTTAAACAAACAGATATCAACTGGTCACTCGTCATCATACAATAGGTGTACTTTATAGCCTAATGTATAATGGTTCGTACATAATTACTATGGTGGTATGTTAACTATTTTGCCGGAGAAATGTGATCTGGTGACATTGCTCACCGCTTTTAGGTAATACATGGTCTACAATTCCGTTATTTTCTAAGTATTTTGTAAAGAATTTAGTTGATTACAATGAAGTTTTATGCTCTTTTTTTCTATATTATAAACATAACACTTTCTTATTGAGCAGTTACACTTTATTGATCACACTATTTGAGATATACTCACATGACTAGAAATAACCTATCTGTATATGTATAAGTGAATAGTAAGTCGAATAACTAAACAAGAGTGTCTAATGATACTTGTGATTTCCCCGTTACTATGCTGGGTCGAATTATTGCACAGAAGGGCTTCTATGCGGAAGCCTTGGTACTGTCTGGGTATTCATTGTGTTATCATTTACTTGGTGGCTAGCAGTGGAATCTAGGACTCGTTAGCTGAATGTAGTTCCACCTCAGCGGGTGATGTTGTTCCCACTGATATTTGGACCCAGTACCCATCGCTTGAAACGTCGAAGCGTTAGAAGTTGGCTCTCGTGCACCAGTGGCCTAGTGCATAACACTCTGACACTCGAGTCTTAGTGATAACAACACCACTCTCTACTGGGGTGTAAGTACGTCCAGATGACGAGTCCCGAGTAAGACGAAACGCGCGTTCTGGATTCCACTCTTAGCTGCCAAAAAGACTATAGCATTGAACAAGAATGGCTGATAACTTGACGATTTGGATACCTGATTTGATCTTCAACAGTAAACTAAGAGTAACGCCTAGGAAGCTGACATCTCACTCTATCTCCGTCTCCTGCCAACTCAGTAAATATTGTTAATAGATTGAGTGATAGACCACCACAATGCATAAATTATACAAGATCCGGAATAAGATGAAAACAATGAAAAGAACACTCCCGGAGACTATAAATAAATCTGTAAGGCAAAGAGAAAAATCAATCAATGTAGTATAAAAATACACTGTATTACGATTTGGTATGCATCTGTGCAACTCTAACCAGCTCTCATCTATATAATATCTGCAGTCGCCAGCCAATTATATACAAGGCCTTGTGGACGTCTAAACGCTAGACGTACATCCACCTCCCTCCCCCCCCAAAAAAAAAACTTGTCGGGAGAGCAATATTCAACAACTGTACGAATCGGTACCATATCTTTGGAAAAATTCAATCTGACAACTACTTTTCACATGTTGGCTGGCTGTAATTTGGGGCTGACCAAAAAGATATATATATATATATATATATATATATATATATATATATATATATACCTTCTATTTCTCTTGGAAAAATTCTTGAAAGAAGGTACTGAGCACAAGCTACAATTCAACAGAACGATACCACTGATACTAGTTGTTCACTAAAAAACCTCCACTTCATACTACGTGTCATACTGTATCGTGGTGTCACCACTTCATTAACCCACAAGTCAAGTGTAGAGTTTTAGGCAGGGGAGGAAATCTAGTTGATGTGATTTCGAACCATGATCGACTGAAATGGCTGACAAGTATGTTACACATGTTTAGTCATCGTCTGCCTTATTGCGCGATATTGGCTAAAGTAGTTTGAGCCTGGAAGAATGTGAGGGACGGTCAAACTAAAACATGCACCATTGCATCAAGTCCTTGACTGTTGGTTTGAGCCATGTTGGGAGATGCAGACTAGCCGGTTGGGGTCCACATAACAAGAGAAACAAGTAGTTGGGGACTGTAGGTGATGATATCGCTTAGAATCCATGTCAGTGGCACAGATTTATCTATACTTTATCTTCATCTTAGTCGTTAAACTGAATTTCAGTATTCTGTCATTCCTCCTTCCTCTTGTTTACTGCTTTCTATTGTTCTTGACGGATTTTTCTATCTTTCTTCATCTTTCATCTGACTACTTTGTTAATTGTTGTGTTGATATAAGGTGTGACAACTTGCACCGTTACGCAGTAACTCCTGTTCCTATTTTGATAGTGATTGGTTCACGTGCTATACAAATCCTATTTGGGTTGGAAATTCTCAACCCGTAGTCGAACCAAATATTAGGAAAGTAAAATATGATGGTGAAGCGAAGATACAGACATGACAGTTTTATTAGTATCATCAGTGCTCAATATGTATAAAAATGTTTTCCACATGGAGATACTATGTCATATAGGCAATACGAATTCAAAGACAGGCATCTAGAATTAGTCAGATCCCCAGATGGACTTTCATATATCTTTTGTAGCTCACTAGTGGAGCTATGGCTAACTGGTTTAGGCAACTGGCTTTCAGCCAGTAGGTCATGAGTTCAATACCCACCTCGTCTACCGAGATTCGGGAAGCCAGGTAGTATCATTATCCCTCGCAAAATGGGTGTGATTTATTGCTTACTGCACAAATGCGCACAAGTTTGCTGAATGTTTTTCAATTTATGTCGCAATTTTCGCTCTCAACTTTTATTTGTCGATTGATGATAGATGATGGGGCTGAAAAAGCATATTTCACTTTACTCCAGAACCGTCGACTAATTATATCTGCGTTCTAATGAAACCAAAACACAACTAACTTACTGTCTTATGTGACAGGACAATATCCTTTAAACTAACAAGTTATGATAGTCATCTATTATGTAGGGTGACCAGACTACTACGTGACACCAGCGCGTGAATCCGCTGACTGTTGATCTGAGCTGTATAGGGAGGTGTAGACTACTTGGTTGGGGATCCTTCAGAGACCACATAGGAACTAGTGGTTAAGGACTCTTAGTGACATGGCTGGAAATCGGTCACGATGGCGTAGATGATGTGTAAAGCTTGGATGTTTTGACCAACTTTAATTTGCCAATTCCCTCTCCTCCCATACACCTTTGTCTACTTTGATATCAGTCATTTTCTATTCACTTGTTCTTTTAATACCACTTTGAAGTGTGGCAACTTAAATCGACGCAACTGTGTGCGAGGTTCTGTGTTGATTTTGTCTGTATATTATGTAAATGTTACGATAATAAAAGCTCTTCTACATCTTACTGCACCGAATAAAATCGAACTCATAAGTAACTAAGGTATAGTTGATGTAGGCATACGCTCACTAGGTATGCAGACGTCGAAAGTCAGTCAAATACAGTTGACAACTGTTTCCTTCCATTTGCCCTCTAGCTCCCCTAAAGCTGATTTACCCTGAGTGACAGAGAAATTACAACTCAACCTGGTACACGTTTATGTACTAGGCTATGACCCATGCTTATTGTATTGTATGAGGGTTTATAACACTGTTCGGTTGTCCAGGTTGGAGTGAGCCGAGCAAGATCTCAACTCAAAATTCATTGCTATGAAGTCAAATGTTTCATCCAATGAGCCCAATATTTTAAAATGCTCTTATATGACTAAATATTCAAAGCTTCAGTCATGCAAATCTCTCTTTACTGGCTTCCTATGATGTGAATGTACACTATTTCTTTTTCAAAATATATAATCAAACATGTTTTGAATAAAAATGTTTACGATGCATTCAATCTGAGGTCAATAACTTACTCTTACACTTATTTCCAAACAGAAGACCATGACCACCAATTTGATTTGGATAATCTATCAAATCTGCTGGTAGTAAAGAACTATTTTCAAAGAGACAATTCAGTTTCTCGGTTTGTGCATTCATTACATCCCGTTTGTCACTGTCAATCATTGTACTTTGATGATGTTGATGGTAATAGTAATAACAATGGCTACAAAACACGAAAATAATGATAATAGCATGCATTAAATGAAGAAAAATTGATATGAAAACAAAAGATGAACAACACAGAACCTTGAACATAAGTGCATCAGTTGTAGTGGTGCCACATCACAGAGACATGACAATAACAACAAGTCCATAGAAAAAGAATGACATTGAAGTAGGTAAACGTGTACGAGAGGTGGAAAAACTTTCATAACCTGAAGCTAAAGGACCAGACTGATAAAATGTCTCCTACACTAACTATCAACAGTTGCATATTAATATTATTGATAGACTAAATCAACGTAGACCCCCACACACAACTGCATCACTTCGTTATCACACTTCACAGTAGTATATAAAGAACAGATGGATAGAAAAAGAGTGATATCAAAGTAGACAAAGTTGTGTGAGACAATAAACAATTTCAAGATAACGGTCATTGAGAATATTCAAGCTTTAGAAGACGTCAAAGAGTGAATACATCCACGCCGATGTGACCGATTTTCACCCATTTCACTAAAAACTTTCGACTGCTGATTCCCATCGTCTCGAGGGACCTAGCCAGGTGGTCCACATCCTCCCGTATGGATCAGACGAGTAGTCAGTGACTTTATGGACTTGTGTGACAACCCCGAACCCTCTCCCATCCAAATCCAACTTCCCCTAGTATGACACGTCGAGGTAGGCTGTGATTCGGTATGCGCAATACATACCAAAGACATTTCAGTCAAATAACCTTCACAACCTCATCAATTGACATCCCGACCTTGTCCACTACCTTTCGCCTGACTTCAACATTACTCACAAATGGATTCCACCAAACACGACCAACGCTACCAAGACACCTGTGATCAAAACACTGGAACCGCTTCACGTCTTCGACTTTTAACAGCTATATCTCAGCCATATAACAGGACGGAACGGACTGCAACGCAGTATACTCACCATCTGATAGATACTTGGATATCTCACTAGTTGGTGCCACAGACGACACAAATTGGCGCATACCAAACCGGCATTCTGTATACGCGCTGAGATTTTGTCACCAACCAGGCCACTCGGACTAATGCAACTACCGAAGTAAGTGAAGTGGTTGACACATCACACCACTTCACTATCTATGATTAAACAGTGAGTGGTTGTAGACCAGTACTGGAATATCATCTTGCATCTGACATAATACTTATGAGGATGTTTATCTCAAGGAGATTTCGATTTAGCTCCTAGTTTACCATTCGCGATACACTTGTGTATTCAGGATAGTCAGGTAACTCAAAACCGATTTTCAGGCCTATGTTCTCACTTGTGAGCGACAGATATTGTATGAAGCCCACTGATATTTGACTACTGAGACGTCAGTAGATGTTGTAGGGTTGGAACCCACGACTCATCTGTTGAAAATCGACCGTTTACAACAACCACCCAAAGCTTTGCACTTAAGAGACTTGATAACCTACTATTGTTCACTATCGAACTCATCTATGAAACAAATTTTAGTATTCCATATTAGATGGGTTTATATGATGTATCACACAATGATATAGCAATATTCACTAGGTGACGTTTCAGTCAGAATCTATTGCCCATAATCATATATGACAGGACTGATAGGCTTATGAATAACATCCTATCACAGCTGCCAAATTATACGCTTGCATTGAATAACTTCACTATTCTACTGTATCTTCCTTCTCGGTAATTAAATTTGCTCTCGTAAGTAATTATTAGTATATGAAACAACAACTCCAAGGTTAACAGTAAGTGGCAAAGAATCTAACTCAGCAACGATGTACAACTTTGTGAACTAGGGTGTGATAAACATGATGCTGTATAACATTAACATCTGATTGCTCAAACTTTTATAGGTGGGCCGAAGCAGTAAAGATTAGTAGACCCACTTTATACTCATATATCACTTCGAATTTAGATAGCGCTGAAGTTTGGTAAGCATACATGCTAGGAGAAGCTGTATTAGGTTGGGAGAGGGTTCAAGATGGCGAGACCAAGACGTGGCACCAGTTCATGAAGTCTCTGACTGTTGGTTTGAGCCATATGAAGAGATATAGACTGCCTGGCTGGAGTCCCTGAAACCATAGGAATCAGTATTTGAGGACTCGATAATATGGCTGAAAACCAGACACAATGATGCAAATGTATTCACTCTCTGATGTCTTCTAAAGGTTGATTATTTGCACTAAGATCTAACTTCAAATTGTTTGTTCTCTCATGTCACTTAGTCTATTTTGATACTACTCTTTTTTAGCCACCTGTTCTTTGTATACTACAGTGAAGTATGGCGACTTCAATCGACGCACTTTTGTGCGAGGTCCTATATCGATTTTGTATCTGTCTGTTTATAAATGAGCTTGCAAATAAGGTGATATGAAGAAGCCGGAAGCAGTGCAAAAAACTAAGCCTATATAGAATAAATAACCAAAATAAGAACTGTATTCCACCCTTTATTGTTCAGTTAAAGGCTACTCAGATTGTGAAATTGTCTCTTTTTAAAACATGAAAAGAATCATACACATTCATTCTAGAACGGTATACGATTGTAGTAAAGTAAATAATCTAAGTTCCCAGGGAACAAGTGTATTTAAACATAAAACTGATTTACCTAACATAGGACGTATTTTTCACAAAGCAACTGTGAAAGAATAATTACAATCCATATTTGGGGGGAGGAATAGTGCAAGAATAAAACATGAAACAATTTTGTATCTTACTTGTATTCCTCACAAAAATGAATTCTAGATAAAATAAAAGTTACATTATGGAGCAGTCCCACAGAATCGCATACTGAGGCTTGACAGTGTAAGATCCACCTGTTGTTCTAACACAGGTGAAAGTATATTCGAATGTTGGGTCATCGCTGGCTAACACACTTGACTTTTGACTAATGATACCATATTAAAAACCAGTTCATCTACTACGGCCTGACCAACTACACAGTGTCATAAGTGCATACGAAATGTTTGGCCCAAAACTTATCACAGTAGAACTAAGCGATTCTCTAGTTTTAGGGTAACTCTTAGATGACCTCAAAGAAAAAAATACTACTCAGAAGTGAATGGTTTGTTTGCTATAGCTTTGGAATGTAGAACGGCTAAAACATTTTTTAATAGTATTACACACAAAATAATGGAGAATTCACTTGATTTTCGAGTTTTTAGGAGCAGTAGCTTATATACACATTCTTAAAGGTTTAGTGTGGAACAAGTTAGCAAATAAAGATGTGTAACAGTCTGCAAGAAACCATTGGTTTCATATCATATTCTTCCTAGATATTGATGAGGATCTAAGCTTTCATGACATAACCACGTCAGAATAAACTTACTACCACCAAAGTACAAATGATTTTGTAACTTTTAAGAATGAAGAGATGCTACTTCCATGAGGACCTTTACTAAAGCATCTTTGAGTTGCTTTTTGTCTCACAGTAAGGATCATATGAATATGGATGATGAAACGATCCATTCCAGTCAACAGGTCACTGTGGCCGATTGAATCACACCACACAAACCTGCATTTGAATTTCCATTAAATTTTTCTACGTGTCTTTTTTGTTTTGCAGATGTGACTTACTGCTTCAAGACATGTTGAAGTGTAAGTCATTTGAGATTTTCTAGTTCTCAGAAGTTGGTAGCTACAGAATCCTCGCGACACAGCTTAAGACGGAAATCGACACGAATACATCTATCGTTACTAACTTTATTTGAGATTTTTTTTATATCTTTCTATCACTTAAGCTTGCTTGTTTCAACATTTTCGCACCTTGATGACCTATGTACTGCTGAACTGTACAAGTATGAACTTATCTAACGGTGTTTTTTGTAAGTTTGCAGACGAATAAGTTCTCTCACCTTCATCTTCTAATAATGCTTATAACGTTAATAATCTCCCTTTCAGAACATTTTACTGCTTCCATGATTTTAGTGGTCAGTCAATAACGGGTGCACGAATTCGTCATCTATTACCTACACAGTTAGCGTAAACAGAACAGTCAGATAGAAGCATAGGATGAAAAGAATATTCTACTAAGCTAAGCATCAGCTTCACCCATATAAGCAAGCCAAAACGAGAAAACCGACAGACGTATAGAAATTAAAATCCATACGAAATAAAGTATCGTTGTGAAGGGAATAAAACAACAATCACCAGCACTATACTGACTGAAAGAAATTGCAATTCTGTATCGAGTTCCCAATTTTCCAGGTAACTACACTCTAAAGCTATATATTCATGACCGACGGCATGTAATTACCACCCAACAAATAACGGATGAAGAAGCGATCATGCAAGCATCCTTATTATTACTAATGAACCTAAATACATATTACCTTCAGGAGAATATTATGGTCTTTGTGCATATTTGCCTATAACCATCTATAACCCAGTAAACACCAACTAATTAACGTTGACTTTTTCAGTGTACATACTTTTGCGAAAAACAAAAAACTTACAAGCATTGACAAAAGTAGGCAAAAAGGGCTTGGCAACGTGTAAATTTAGATGTGAAGTGAGCCCAAACCGAGAAGATAACACTAGATTTCTGGAGTCCTACGGACAACAAACTCGTAAAGTGCGAAGTACCTAGGTCTAGCGATCGACAGAGATCAACTGAACCAAACAAATTTCAATACATTCAACCTCAGTGGTAGCACTATACGAAACTAATCACATTGATCCCTAACATCAAACATCAGTAGTATAAATCATATGAAGGTGGTAGTTTTGAGATGCCTTGTCCAATTCTTTGAGCTTGGTTCTTGTTATTCGGTTGTACTCAACTAATGTTTAGAGTAGTCTCTTCACCACCTTGCTTTTAGCTCTGGTCAAGTGTGTGTGGATTTGTATTCGAAACTTACAAACTGTGTTATTTAGAGGGCCAAGGGCTGCTGAGAATATTAGGGAACTCTTTGCGGCTCCTGTCTGTTTAGGGGGAATAGTAAATTAAAGGTGGTGGCAAGCTCCTTGAATAGTGACGTGTTTTCACTCGTCTCTCAGCTTTTGGATTTTTCCACATTGAAAAACTTCCACTCGCAATACTCAATATAAAAAAATCGATCGTTTGCAGTACTCCAGTCCCTGCACGCACTTCACCGCTGCGTATTCGTCAACTTACTTCTCAACAGTTGAAAATCGGCATTATTATTTCTATGAACCGATCGGTCTGCCTCCTGTCAGTGGTTCTTGGGTATCTCAACCGCCAAACTGCCTTAGCTCTCGGTTCTCTTCGGAGGTCATTCACCAGGAAACATTTTTCCTGGTTATACATACACATCTGGAGCTTAAGGTTGAACTCATTGGTCAAGAGCAGAGGAGCAAGCGACAAAAGTCCGAAGGTAAGCCAACATAAACTGTCTTCCTTTATATATTCTGTCCTTCTACTACATTCAGTCTTCAACCCCCTTATTTCTGTTGACTGCTTATTTTCCTGAGAAGTTTGCATAATAATGACATGTCTGCCCAAAACGCTAGATCCGAACTTTTTTACACGGATAACGCGGTCGTGCACAAAAGGGGAAAATAGCACCCGAAACAACACTCTAGTCCGTACCCACAGACAAACAGAGATAGGGTAGAACACCGAACTCCTAAAGAAGAGCCAACTTATGGTTCTAGAATTCCAGTCGCCAACAGACAGGTGACACAGAGTGGCACTAGCCCGTCACAAACTAGTCCTACCTCGGGCAAAAGCATACCATGCCTGAAAATAGGAGACGGCATAAAAGGCTTCAGAACAAGGCAGCCACAAGAGGTTTGCCAAAACCTGCAGCAATTTCTTCATAGAAAGAAGGCTGCATTATGACACCCGATGGCTGCAGTGTTTGCACTGAAGTTGTCTCGGTAGTTGATGAGGCATTTGCGTGCAACCTATGCCACCGATGGGCTCATCGCCACTGCGACACCGAAGTCCCCCGACAATACTATGAGCTGATGAAGGGATAACCATGCAAATGGTTCCGGTACATTTGCCCAGAGTGCAGGAAGCTGCCCGCTTTCCGCACAGAAAGCCCGAAAGAGATGCTCTCCTCCATGCAAAAGCTGCCATATCCTAGAATAAAATAGGGTTAACACTAAAGGGTAACACAGTGGAGCCTGGAAACGGAACTAGAGCCCCAGCTGCGAGCACGCCACCACGAGCGGGGACCATATTGGATAGAGTCTCCGTACTTTCCACCCGGCCTCAGAGAACGTCAAGCGCGTGGCTAAAGATACCGACCCCTAGACTCTCTATGAAACCCGCCCCAAACATCCTACACACCGTGACTGAGAAACGACCAGTAGAAATGCACAACAAACCCATTGGGGAGTCGGGCATGCCACCCACAACGAACCCAGGTCACAGGAGGGCTAACTCGATCATCTTGTTCGGCGTCGACGTACCGACAAACTCATTGTTGATCGGGAGGGAACGGTTTGACAGCCAAATGTGGACCGACTACTGTCCGATGCTGGAACTTCCTCCTCTCCCTGTAACACTGTGCAAGCCTGGTACCCCGGGATAAGCCACCCCCTTTACGTGTGTCCTTGAACACCGCCAAAGGGGCCGAAGACACCCTCCTTCCCTCACGACAACCGGACGTTGTTAATGTCTGCAAAATTCGGTCCAGGCCTGACGAACCAAAGTCAATAAGAGAGGAGGAGAGGAAGCCAGGGGTTGGAAATCTTAACAGAGACAGCACCATGGTTGTACATGGGATTCCAGAACTGCCAAGTGACCGCTCGGTTGAAGATCGGTACCTCCGCAACCTCCAGCAATGGCAGTGGCTCCCAGCCAAAGTTGGTCTCGACGGTATACCAGCCGACAGCGTCAGTAGACTGCCAAGACCAGAGCATCTGAAGTCTATAACCACTCCCAGGCTACTCACCGTCCAGTTCAACTTATATGCCTCCTTCATAGACGTTCCACACGCATGGTATAATGCGAGAGATCGCACGGGCGGCTCAATATGCGGAAGTAGGCCTGGACCCGCGAGGCAGGAGGAGAGGCGGCAACCACCAAGACCCCTGGAGTCAGTGGTTGTCATGCAGGCACTGACCAGAGAGTGAGATACATCGGGTAAAGAGGCTCCCACTGCCACGACCCCCACCCGAGTTGAAAATAAAACACAAAAACGGAACGATGCCAGTCCCACGGGACTGGCGACGCCAGACTAAACCACGTCGGCGCTCCCCCGACGAAAATACACAGCCAGCCCTCCCCTCCCGCCAGATACACTCTAACATGTATGTACGGCAAGGTTGGGGGGCTAAGAGGGAAAGTAGCAGAAATGGGGACGCTGCGTGAACGCAAGCACTCTAACATCATATTTACCACTGAATCCTGGCTCTCGCCGGACATCTCTGGCGAAGAGGTGCATGTCACTGGCATGGAACTCCTCCGCAGGGACAGAGGGCTCAGAGCAGGAGGAGGAGTGGCTCTCTACGTAGGCCCCCGTCTAAAGGCAAGGGTGGCTAGCGATACCGCCTTAACCCAGCTCCCATAATCTCTATGGTGCTACTTCACTGCGCCAAGCACCTGCTCGGAGTCATAAGTCGGTCCCCCACCAGCTCCCCTACACATTGGGAAATGGTCGTCAGGGCGATCTTGGCGGCTTCCCCCGCTAATTGCGATTCCGCACTCACTGCCAGCGACTTCAACACCCCATCCATCCTCTTCGAGACAGTAGGGAGACGCGTCAGATCATTGAATCACAAGCTGAAGAATGAAATTAAGACTGCTGTCCCCTCAGAGAAAGTGGGTGATGTCACACGCTGGGACCTAACGGAAACGCATCCCGCCTTGACTACGTTCTGACAAAAGATGAACTTCTCATTTAGGATGTGTGCATCCAACCTCCCCTTGGCCTCAGTGGCTGCGCAGTAATAACCGTCTCCATGATTACAAGGTAGGCTCTGCAACTGGAGCCGCCCGACACCTTCCCCTGCCACAGCGAGGCCAACTACGAGACCACGAGGGACCATCTCATGAATGCAAAATGGTAGGTAGACTGGCCCATCTCACAATAGACGAACACTGGTTGGGGTGAAGAAAATAATTTCTGGGGCTATCAGTCGCAGTGTACCAGAGGTAACACACAGACTGTCGGTGAGAACCCCATGTCTAAAGTGTGGGACAGAGAGGCTTATCCATGGAGAAAAGCAGGCTTGGTTCAAGCGGCGTTCATCACGCAGGGAGTCTGACTTTTTCAACTACAAAAAGATTCGCAACCGTTGTAACAGTAGAGTGCGTAGCGACAGAGTCTCCTGTCAGACAGACTGGGCGAAGAGGTTACAAAGCAATCCCAAAAACCTGCACTGCTTCATGTGGAGAAAGGAGTCGACCAGTAAGGGAGTGAATCTTGTCACAGGTGATGATGGGAGTGCACTAGGCAGTCTACAGATTGCCGTGCTTTTGAGCTCACACTTTCAAGCCCAACTTAGCACCGACACAAAATCCACACCAACTCGTTACGACACCTACCAGGTCGTAAATGACGAATACCTCTGTCACATCTAAATCACGGAGAAAAAATGCTGGAGAAACTATCTAGGCCACGTCCAGGCAAGTCCCCTGGCTGCCGCAACCTAAAACCGGTGACTCTAAAAAACTGCACCGGGGTGCTTACAAAACCACCCTGCAACCTCTTTGAGCACTCAGCACTCAGACTCCCTAAAGAATGGAAGAGCGCCATCTTTTTTGTTTCATAAAGGCGGAGACAGAAAACGCCCTGGCAGCTACAAACCAATTGCTTTACTCCATGTTGCATCGAAAGTGTTGGAAAGCCTGGCAGCTGACACTGTCTAGGAATTCCTCAATAGGGAAAGCACCGTGCATACTGCTCAGTATGGTTTTCGGAGTGGTCACTCATGTGCCACCAACTTACTAACTGCTTGGGACTACTGAACACAAAGCTGGGATAACAGAAGACCGGTACATGTCGTATTTCTCAACCTAGCCAAAGCATTTGACAGTGTCCTACCCACAGCCCTGCCTTACAAGATCGTGTCAGCTGGTATAAGTGAACCCCCACTCTCTTGGTTCAAGGAATACCTGGAAGAGAGGCAGTTCTGCACCAAAGCGAACAGAATAAGGTAGGAGTGGAGACCGTTGACGTCAGAGGTACCCAAGGAGCAATCCTAGGACAGCTTCTGTTCCCCCTGCTTGTCAACGATCTGCCAGACAAAATATCCCCACCCATCCTCCTCTTCGCTGATGACATTAAAATTTGGAGGGTGGTAAACGAAGAAGCTGACTAGGCAGCACTGCAAAAGGACTTGCAGCAACTCCAACTCTGGTCGTCAGATAATGGCCTGAGCTTCAACCTGGAAAAGTGCAAAGTAATGTACGTCAGTGAATATGAAGCAAGTACTACCGACTTCCAGGACATGTTGCGCAACCGTGCTATCACCAGAGTGTCCATGGAGAAAGATTTTGGGCCCAACTTCCCCAACACCTTGGACACCAGCTCCAACTACAGAGGTATGACAGCTGGGGCGAATGCCATTCCACACTTTCTGCGTAGACAGCTTGGCGCCCTCACTCCCGAACTCTTCCTCACCACTTTCAACTC